TCGCTTGTAAGTGCTCTCGAAGTAACTGCAGGATGTCAGGCCTAGATATTAAGCTCAACATTGTATCAACCTGTAATACAATAATCTTAAAAAAAATATATATATATATATTAAATGAGTATCGCAAGGCTAAAATATACAAATCTTATCTAAGATTTATATGTTTTAGTTTTGTGGTACTCAAATATAATGTAATTTAAATAAATATTATTTTTTTTGAATGCTAACAATTTTAAGTTCAAAGCAACAGGCCATTTTGTGAAGCAAAATATCTAGATTATTAAATATATAGATTCGAGTCTCAAGGACAAATTTAGCTTGCAATTCAAAGCAACTCTTTAATATAATTTTATTATTAAATTCATAATCATTGAAGAGTCTTTATTTAGTATATTTTAATAATTTTGTCTAAACTTTTAATACTGCATATTGATATACTATTAGGTTTTTGTGTATTTTAAACCAATCTGTATATTTTTAAAATCAGACAAGGTATTAATTACAAAGATTCCTAGGGCTTACTAATTTCTTCCAAATTCCTATTGGCTAGAATTATTCACACTAAATTACATATCGCTTTATTCTTAAAAAGTTAGATTAGTATCAGAATTAATAGATAATATTATACCAAATTTTACAAAGAATTTTTTTTGTTAGTACGCAAAAGGCGATTTTTTAGATAAAATTTTAAGATAAATAAGCTTTTCTTATTCTCTGATTTGCTATAGATACATCATGTTGATTTTAGAAATATGATTTACATATGACTAACAGTAACTTGGGGGAATTAGTAAACCCGATACCTAGTGTTCATATTGAAAAATTAGATCATGTATTATTTGTATCGGTATAATCTTTATCTTGTTAGTAATTAATTTAAGTAAATTTTAAATATAAAATTAATAAATAATTTAAACAAAATAATAAATAATAAAATAATAAAGCATATAAAATAAAATTTTATAATAATTTTATTTAATTATTATACAACTATTACAATTCAATATTCTTAGAAATTCTGTGATGCGATTTATATTTTTTTACTACAAATTCGGCAGCAAAGAGAGTTAATCCTTTTTTATAGGTATCTATATATCTCCACACTTTCCTTGCAAACTTTTTGATTGTTATAATATCTACAGAATCAAAAGCCTTTGGTACAGTTTTTTTTAATCTTTAAATAGTATAATTATAGTAGTTTCTTGCATATCTTTTTATCACCCCCCAATAATATTCAATATAGTTTAATTTTAGATAAAACTTGGGATAAAAAAAATTTTGTGATCTTGTTTAAGCACAATTTTCTCAAGAACATTTTCTGTTCTATAAAGTTTGGCTATCTAGCCAATTTTTTCTATTATAGCATATTTTTGTTTCATCTTTTGAGTATTTAATGTATTTGCCTCTTAATCGCTTATCTCATATTTCTTTTTCTGTCATTATCTTTTTAATTCTTTTTGGTTGACTTCTTTTTTTTCATCTGGATGATTTAATGGAAAAACTATTTCTTGAAATGTGTTATCAGAAAATCGACTAGGGTGCATTTTGGGTTGTTCACTACTATAACCAATATTTATTTTGTTTATGATTAATGCATCTTTAGCGAAGGCTTCATGGCTAGAACTATTATCAAACCCAAAAACTAATATTGTATCTGGAAGTGCAATTTTCAAAATATCAATTGCCCATTCAAGTTGCTTAGCTAGCAATTGAATATTCTAATAACTTTCATAATTTGCTCCAATTTCTAATAACTCAGTAAATATAATATTTTGAAATTTTGAGATTAGCTACATGCTGTTCTTCAGTTAAATGATCTCAACTTAGTGGTTTACACAAAATTTCACTAATGTGAATACATCTGCTCTGTCTTTTTTGACATAATTTATATTCACCTATTAATAATTAAAATAAAAAATTATAAAAAAAAAAGCATCAATACTTAAAAATTCAAAGTTTAAGACAAATAATACTTGAAATTCGTTTTATAATATAAACAAACCTTTGGAGCCTTATCCTGTTTTCTCATCATTATTTGTAACTAACTTTGTCTCATCATGTATTATTATACAATTTTTTTTTTTT